TTCTATACTCGTTATTTTATGACCCATTATGCAATACTCAACAAAGATAAGAGTTCCTTACTTGCGGACTCGCTTCTTAAACACTTTCTGTTTAAGCACTCGTTACTTGATAACTCGTTGTTCGAGTACTCGCTAACTCGTTACCCGTAATTTTAAGTCTTGGCAAATGCATAAAAGTAACTGAATAAAGCTTACGGCAGCTTTTATTGCAGCTTTTTTATTTAATTTGCATTTAACAACACAAGAAAAAACTTTAATCGCTGCAAGAACCGGTAAATTGATTATTGTGTTTAGAGTAGAACATAGGGTATCTGAGACGTCGTCCAATTGCCTGGATTTAGGCCTCACTCCACATAGAGCCGTGTAATTGTTGTATTCTCGTTATTCGGCAATTCGTACAAATTGATTTATAACGATTCATTTTGGGAGCAGCTGCTGGGCGAAAGCACACGCCAGGAAGGAGCTGCCCGCTTCGTAGCGAGACGCAGGTGTGAGTTTTACTTGTTCAGAAATTGTTTTATGTGCTCTCGCTTTTTCGGCAGCAGCCAGCAACCAAGTCGAGCCGCGTGCATTGTGTGCGGCCAGGCCCATTTGCTCAGTGGGCTGGTCTCTAATTCGGCCACCGCTTTCACAGAAGTGTGCTCGGCTTTCACTTTCCAAAAAACAAAACAAAAAAAAAAAAGAAAGGAGAAACAAAAATCTGGCACAAATGCCACCACAGCTACCCACTGTGCAATTAAGCCACGCAATCAGAATGCAAGATGAAGGCTTCGCTCTTCAAACAATGGAGGCCAGAGCCGTCATGTTGACAAAATGGCGGCCGCAAGCTGCAAAGCTAACAAATGCCGTTGCATGACAGACCTCACTGGTTGTTGTTCTGCTTCTTGTTCTTGTTGCTGTTGTTGTTGTTGTTGGATTACACTTTTAGGGACTGTTGGTTTTGTGTACCCTGTTTTGTTTACTAAAAGCGCATTGCCCTGGCAACTGGCAGTCCTTCCCAGAAGTATCTCTCGTCATTTCACCTGTCAAATTAATTGACTAGACCCTTATAACCTTTGTGCCAGGTGGAAATTTAGGAAAATGCTTGGATTGTTGTAATTTGTATGCTTTTATTTATCAACGGCTCTTTGATCCGTTTATATTGTTGTATTTATTTATATTGTTTCAGAATCAATACGCTTAAAATTCCATAAACTATTCGATTGCAATATCAGAATATTTAATAAATTAAAATAAATTTTATTTAAGTTACTGAAACACAAAGTGTATTATCTAGTCGATCTCTAGATATTTAAACATTTTATTTAGATATCTAAAGCAAGAATAGTGTGTTTTAGAGGGCGCTGATAAACTGTTAATTATCAAATTACATAGGGCTTATATTTAAAACAGATTCAATTTATTGCTCAGCTTATGCATAGCATTTATTTTCATAATAAACGACTTTTTATAGGTAATACCAAAGTTGTTGTAAAGAGTTTTGGCCGGAGCACTTAATAGTAAAAGAATATAAGGCCAAAAAGAAAAATCGGACTCCGATTTTATTACCACCTATTTCTAATGGCGCATCAACTTTAGTTGCTGCGTCAAAAAACTAATTTCATCTTTCGAGCTTGCCTACCAGAATGTTAGAGGTCTTAACTCTAAACTCGCTAAACTGTATTTAGACTCTCTTGCTTTTAATTTTAAAATTATCGCTTTTACTGAGACCTGGCTGAACCCGGACATCTCAGACTCTCCAACTTTTACCTCCAAATACACCACTTACAGATGCGATCGAGCTTCCCATATCGGAGGAGGAGTACTTATAGCTGTCGAGTCTGCTCTTTCGTCGGAACGCATTGATCTTCCCATCTCAGAGATTGAGTTGGTGGCTGTAAGAGTTGTATTTGGTACTTTTTCTATCTTTATTACATGTTCATATTTACCTCCTCTATCTAATTTGTCTACCTATCAAACCCATCTTAATGCTATTAAATCTATCTCCTCCCTACTTTCTGATAGAGACCTTTTAGTAGTTCTTGGGGACTTTAATCTTCCTGTTGTCGAGTGGTCATCGCCATCAGACTCAAACTTTCTGTTGCCGTCATCGTCAAACGAATTTATTGATGGTCTACATGAAATGTCCTTACGGCAGGTTAATCGTGTGCGCAATTCAAGAAACAGATCTCTTGATCTAATTTTCGTGTTGGATTCGTTCAACAGTGTTGTGCACAGGATCAATCCGCTTACACTTCCTGAAGACCCTTTTCATCAAACTCTGGAAATGGTCATTGATTTACCAGCCCGAGTCCCTATCAAGGAATCGGAATTAGCTGAACGTATGCGTTGTTTCCGAAAGGCTGATTTTCATAAGCTAAATGATCTTATTCTGCAAGTCGACTGGTCCCAACTGTACAATTGTGCAGACATTGATGTTGCCTTGAAACTTTTTTATGACACCTTGTACTCGATTTTTGATGTCTGCGTTCCTCTTGATCACCCAGCGAGGCCTGATGACCTCCCTTGTTCTCAAATGAACTTATGGGGTTAAAAAACGTGAAGTCGAGGTGTTATAAAAAGTTTAAGAAATTGGGAAATCACTCTGATTTCTCCCGCTATGCAGTTGCCCGATCAAATTTTTCCACCCAAAATTCCATCTGCTATAAGAATTACCTTCGGCGTTGTCGCCTTAAATTTTCACATAATCCTAAGCAATTTTTTAACTTTGTCAATGTCCGCTAAACGAAAGACATCTACTTTGCCTTCTTCGGTTAAGTTTGCAGATGAGAGCGCGAACACTGATCCAGGCATAGCCGATCTGTTCGCAAACTTTTTTTCAAACTACCTACTCCTCCTCTAGGTATAATAAAAATCAGCCTTATCCTTATCAGTTACAGAGGTCAAACTGCATCTTTAATCCCATTATTACCGAAAGATCGCTTCTTAGCGAGCTTAACACTATCAAGCCGGTTTACTCACCGGGCCCTGATGGTGTTCCTGCTTGCGTGCTTAGATACTGCGCTGCAGCATTATGTAAACCTGTTTTAAAATTTTTTGAATTGTCCGTAAACACTTCATCTTTTCCGACCATTTGGAAGGAATCATACATTATCCCTCTCCGATGTCGAAAACTATAGAGGTATTTCCAAATTATTCGCTATACCTAAAGCTTTTGAGAGAATTATAACATCTCAACTGCAGCATTTATGTAGTTCTATTATTTCACCTTCCCAGCATGGGTTCGTGAAGCGCAGATCTACAACCACTTACCTTCTTGAGTTTACTTCGTTTGTAATTGATGGGTTTAAGAAAAGAAAGCAGACTGACGTCATCTATACTGATTTCAGTAAGGCTTTCGACTCTGTCAACCATTCCTTGCTGCTTCATAAATTAAGTCTTCTCGGCTTCCCAGTCAATCTTTTGAACTGGATTTCAGAGTATTTGCGTGACAGAACTCAAAAGGTTCTTTTCAGAAATTCGTTTTCTAAACGTATTCTGGTGACTTGTGTGGTGTTCCTCAAGGTAGTCATCTTGGCCCGCTACTCTTTACTCTTTTCACCAATGACCTTCCCTCGATACTGTCTCACTCTCGAGTATTAATGTATGCTGATGACGTAAAATTATGCCTTGCATATAAGGATATGGCATCATGTTATCTCTTACAAGCGGACATTGATGCGTTTCAGGCTTGGTGCCTAGCCAACCTGTTAAACTTAAACTGCTCTAAATGTAAGGTAATGACCTTCTAAAGAAGCCCTCCTCAATTGGTTTCTTACATCCTTGATAGCATACCGCTCGAGCGTGTTAATAGTACTTCTAATGAAGTTAATGATCTAGGTGTCATCCTTGATCATAAACTTAAATTCGACTCTCATGTTAACACCGTGGTCAATAAGGCCAGAATAGTTATGGGTTTCATCAAGCGATGGCCGAAGGAGTTTGACGATCCGTACACGACAAAAGCACTTTATATATATTTGGTACGACCTATTCTTGAGTATGCCTCATGTATCTGGTCACCACAATATGCTACCCATCAGGACAGAATTGAATCCGTTCAGATACAATTCTTGTTGTTTGCCCTTAGTGGTTTAAATTGGGATCCTCGTGTGCGGTTACCGTCATACTCCAGTAGACTTCTGATGATTAACCTTCCTTCTTTAATTAATCGTAGAACCATGCTGGGTGAAATATTTATTCATAAATTAATTACTGGTGAAATCGACTCTTCTGTGTTGACTAGCCAATTAAATTTCTCTATCCCTACTAGACTAACACGTAATTTTGTACCTTTATCGCTTCAATTTTGCTCAACTAATTATGCCTTGCATGAACCGTTCAGGGTTCTCTGTGATGACTATAACAAGCATTACAGAGTATTCTGCTCGGAGTCTTCTCTTCCTCGTATAAAGTCTTCTATTTAGCAAGTAGATAGTCCTATTTTTATTTGTAATTGTATTTGTTCACACACTCGTAGTTTGTATCGATTTTTTTTTAAAATATTTTTTTTCATATTTACTTTGAATTTCGTATCGTACGTTACACGACTGCGCCCCTCGGTCGGTTGGGCGGGAGGTGGTATGCAGTACGTTGCATCGGGATTCGCGTTAAAAAAAAAAAAAAAAAAATAAAAATGAATATCATTTATATTGTCTTCTAAAGTATTCAAATAGTATAGCTCGTATTTTAACCGAACCGGAAATAACTGGGACAATAAACAATTTTTATTCACTGTAAATCAAACCTTGAACTGACTAAAGAAAGGGCGAACCATAATCTTGTGCCTGAAAATTAAATATACTTCTTCTACCCATTTTTAGTGTGTTCAGCGTATAAATAAAATGCCAAGGCTGATTATAGGTGTGTCAAAATAACTTATGACAATTCTTAAGGTTAGTTAGTACTTTACTTTAGTTAAAGCCGTCGCTATGAAGTGCTCTATAATATTAATTGGTAATCGAGTTTACTAGAAAGATTTTATTTATTAACCAAAGCTCAATTTTTGCTTTGCAGTTTTCCTGCTCTGTGAAGTCCAGCACATTACAGGGAGCCAGCAATCCTTAGAAATTGAAGAAAAATACGCGCATTCAAAACCTTCCTATCCGCATGACCCTCTAAGTTCGGGACACACGTTGGGACGGACACGGCAAACTGTGATGCGCACGGGATCGGACGGCGGCAGAACGGAACTGGCTAATGTGACGGAGAACTATTGCTGCTTTTGGGTGTATCAGGGTCACCCGGCGTTGCCGGACATCTGGGAGCATCGCAAGGAATATGCATTCGACTTCCTATTCAATGGCAAATTCGAGAAAAATCAGCGCAACTATCAGGAACGTCCAATAAATTGAACCATTGAACCATGTTTAAATTAAACCTACGGCACATAGTTTTGCTGACACATCAAATTATAATTAACTTTGTCCAACCTGGCCCGAAAGCTGTCTTCAAGCTGAAAGTCCTGACAGCACATAATAGATTTGACACATTATAATCAGGTTTGCATAGCATCAACCGCCCGACAGGCAGTCGGAGTCGTTGGCCACAGCAGGGCGCCGGCTCACCCATTGACAGGGCAAGCTGAAGAGCTGGCTGAGATGATGAGCAGCTGATGATAGCTGAGTGCCCGAAGGCGCAAAGATGCAGACATGAAACTTGGACTTATTCGGTCACTAAATTGCTCAACGTTGTTGATGTTGCTCCTCATGCTGTCTCTATTTAAAATAGGCAAAAAGGGTATAATACTTTTGTGGAAAGGTAAGCGACAAGCAGAAGCAAGCCTCTCCAAGCCCATAAAGTGTATAAATTGTCAAGTGAGCCGTGTTCATCTGCAGAAACACGTGGATCCCAGATACTAAAGGGACTAAAAACTTTAAAACACTGATAGCTCACTCCCTTTTCATGAAATCGATAATTATCGATTTTTAGATTCGTTTTTTGGGCACACTGATAAGAGCTACGGAACCCAAAATTTTAGTATGGTTGCTTGCTTCCATTTTTTTGACCGTTGGGTGCCAAATTTAAAGCTTGAATTTCAAGATGCTCGGACTATAGATACCGAAGTTATTGAAGAGCTCATTTCTTATAGTTTGGGGCTTGGGAAAGAAGAAACACAGCCGCAGCATAAAGTGCGCAGCAAGCGGCATGCGTATTTGAATGTGTGTGTCTATCTGTGTGCTGATGTATTAAAGAAACTTCGAATGTTTGCAACGGCAGCTCAGCGCTGGGTTGATGGTATCTCCAAGTCGGTCACTCCCTACTAGAGCACGTTCGCTTGTTGTTGTAGTTGTTGGACAGGAGTTCATCAACTGATAAGCAGGCAGGCTGTGTGACTAGAGCCTCATGTCTGGGCATTTACTTAGTTAATTAAATTCAACTTCTTTGAGTACTGAACAGGAGCTAGCGCAACTTGAATGCGGCAGGAGGCGCGCCGGACACATTCTCCTCCTCCTCCTCCTCTTCCACTTCCACCTCCACCTCCGTGGAGTTGCTTGGACTTGACAGAAGTTTGCACAACGTATTTGTTCATATCGTAGTTAAATTATCCAATACCCCAAAGTCTGTTTGCATTTAATCTCGAATTTTTCTCTCCGCTTTGAGTGGTAGTTGATAATTGCGACCGGTGCTCGAGTGCAACAGCTCCCAAGTCCAATTGCATAATTCAGCAGGCAAACTTGAGTAATTTGCTGCTTCAATGCTTAATGAAAATGCTGGGAAAAATATTGAAATTTTCTTCGGTTGTTGGCACCTATTTGCAAATAAACTGCTACTTCATATGTTGGATCTGTAAATTGCATTTGACTCTCAACTGAAACTTCTCTCGAGCAACACTTCAGCTCTGTGTGTGCGTGTGTTTGTGTGTGTGTGAGTGCAAACAATTCTCAACTGAATCGAATTGAAAATAATTCAAAGCTTCTAAGGCTCTTACAGACTAAAGTGTTCGTCGGCCAGGCTTGAATTTAACTAAGAAAGCATTGTAAAAAGGATATATTATATATACAGTTTGATTAGTGTAGTCTTTTATTATTATGCTTATACATTTGGGTGTGAATTCTGATCGATGATGCGTAAATCAATATATTACCCGGTGAATCCATATTATCGATATGCATATTTGATGATAGCAGCCATGTCTGAAACGAGTTTTTTAATATATAACTTATATATATTGCTAGATTGATTTCAGAAGCAGTTAAATTTGTAAAATGCAGTAATTCTTTTAAATATTCGTTCTTAAATATACATATAAAGTTATTTATTCTAGACATCTAAAAATTATTCATGACACAAACCACTTAACGCACTCAACGCAAATAGGCGAACTTATCGATATCAGTGCGCACATATCGCGAGCATCTGCCTATCGATCGAACAGCTGATTTGCGTTTAGTTTTGCGCGCGAATTCTACAAGTTGGGGTTTGGTGTTGCGCGTGCAGAAATAAATAATTGTTTATCAATTTTAATAAGTGTAATTAACTAAAATTGAGTGTTTAAGTGTGTGTTTGTGTTTATAAATCATGTCTGTGTTGTTGGCAGACATAGACGCCACTTGCGCAGCGCTGGGCGTAAGCGATGGCAAGCGCTATCAGGCGGAGCCCGATGCGGCGGAGGGTTTAAAGGTGGGCACAGGCGAGTTTTGGGGCAATCAGAAGCCACTTGAACTAATATTTCATTTATAATTATGCAGCATTTAATTTGGATATTGCGTCGTGATCTGGATAATCACGAGTATCGACGCCATTTGGGACGCGCCAAGGTGCTGCAAACGGATCTAGTTTACATGCTGCCCGACTATGTGCAGCATGAGGAGTTGGCGGATCTGCTGATACGACTGCTGGTCATATTGACCAATCCGACGCTGCTGCTCTATCGCGAGGGACCGCCCAAAGATAATCACGGGCGCAAAGTGTTCCTTGAGTTAATTGACATACTGCAAGGCTATAAAGTAGCCTTTGCCAAGGATAAAATCTGGACAGCATTGTTTGATAAGCTCAAACAAGCATTGGAAATTGTAAGTCATAGAACTTGTAAGTTTTTCAACAATTTAGCAATATACGTGTATATATATATTCCAAACAATTAATATCAAATAATCAAATGAAGAAACAGCAACAATCATGAGCACGAGCAACTCAGGTGAAGGCACCGGCAGTAGCAGCAGCGACACGGATGAGGAGGAGGAGTCCTTTGACAACAGGTACTACACCTGTCTAGTGTGTATGCGCACCGCTCGATTGCCGCGCGTCACCTTTTGCGGTCATGTCTTCTGCACCGATTGCATTGGCAAATGGATCACGTGGCAGGGCAGCTTCGCCAAGTGCCCGTATTGCCAGTCCCGCGTGGGTAGCAATACGCTGATCACTGTGAATCATGCGAGGAATGGCATGCATACACTTGGACGCTATACACGCTGCAAATCGATTGCACAGCATCGCCATTTTGCTGAATCAATTGCCATGTATGCAACGGTGCCGGAGACATCCATGTTTCTGGGCGCCTACATTGAGCGACCGCCGGAGCTGATGCCGCGCATCAAGCCTCTGCCGGAGCAGTTGTTGCGGGATGTGTCCAAGCGTCAAATACGACGCACCTTCCTGAATGCGCCTGTCTATCAGCGAGCCCTAATTGTGGTCATACTGTTTTATATGTTTGTCGTATATCTTAATGCAGACGGCCCAATATAAGAAATTTCAGATCTGTTCCATTTGTAGTTGAAATGTTTGAAATAGATGCCCAATATAACCTGTAGCATTTTCCTATTTGCCGTTAATTAATGCTGGTTAAATGGGACTATACAAGCGTTGTGGCTATAGGGGAAGCCTAGGCAATTAACGTCCTGGCATTTGCACAACTATTTCTCTGTAATCTTTTATGGACCTTACGACCATTAATGTGGCAACGGTCCGCGTAAAACTTTTAATGGCTCTCCTGCAGCTGCCAGGCGGACAAGTTGGAAAATTATCTTAATGTTCGCGCGAAGAGTATAACCATTTTGTCAAGAAATATGTAACGCATTGAAGAAGATATTTTGGACTCAAAGAATATATAAATTACAAGCATAACTATGTTAAGCAAATTAACAAAATGTCTACATCGAATTTCTATATCACATAGCTGCTATATGAACAATCAGTTGCATATTGAAATTATTTATGAAATCTCTTATCCCCCTTGTTTTTAGTGATATTGAAACTAACCTCCCAAATTTAAAGCTTACAACAATTTCCTAAAAGCTGCCATAAATCGCTTTAAACCCAGGTTTTCAATATATCTTGGCAAAGGCGATCTTAACTATGTTTTTATACCCTTGCAGAGGGTATTATAATTTTGTCGTGAAATGTGTAACGCATAGAAGGAGACATCTCCGACCCCATAAAGTATATATATTCTTGATCAGTATCAACAGCCGAGTTGATATAGCCATGTCCGTCTGTCCGTCTGTCCGTCTGTCCGTCTGTCTGTTTCTATGCGAACTAGTCTCTCAGTTTTAAAGCTATCTTTATGAAACTTTGCAGAAGTCCCTCTTTCTGTTGCACGCAGCTCATATGTCAAAACCAGCTGGATCGGACCACTATATCATATAGCTGCCATAGGAACGATCGGTCGAAAAGTAGGTTCTTGTATGAAAAACATTTTTGTTTATAAAGTTATCTTTACTAAACTTGGTATTTATTAGTTTTACTACGTTCCCCATATATATGCAAAATCCTATTAAGATCGGACAACTATATCATATAGCTGCCATAGGAACGATCGGTCGAAAATTAAGTTTTTGTATGGAAAATTTTTATGTTTTTCAAGATATCTTGACCAAACTCGGTACTTATTAGTTTTACTAAGCTCCCCATATATATGCAAAATTCTATTCAGATCGGGCAACTATATCATATAGCTGCCATAGGAACAATCGGTCGAAAATTAAGTTTTTGTATGGAAAATTTTTATGTTTTTCAAGATATCTTGACCAAACTCGGTACTTATTAGTTTAACTACGCTCCCCATATATATGCAAAATTCTATTAAGTTCGGACAACTATATCATATAGCTGCCATAGGAAAGATCGGTCGAAAATTAAGTTTTTTGTATGGAAAATTTGTATGTTTTCAAGATATCTTGACCAAACTCGGTATTTATTAGTTTTACTACGCTCCCCATATATATGCAAAATCCTATTAAGATCGGACAACTATATCATATAGCTGCCATAGGAACGATCGGTCGAAAATTATGCTGTTGTATGGAATTTTTTTTTGTTTTTCAAGATATCTTGACCAAACTCGGCATTTATTAGTTTTACTATGCTCCCTCCACTTATGCAAAATCTTATTCACATCGGGCTACTATATCATATAGCTGCCATAGGAACGATCGGTCGAAAATTAAGTTGTTGTACGGAAACCTGTTTTGTTTTTCATGGTATCTTAACCATACTCGGCATTAACTATTTTCCCTGTGCTTCTTAGAATCGGGCAAAGCACTATAAGCATTTTGAAAAGGTTGGGTCTGCAAGGGTATTAAATCTTCGGTGTGCCGAAGATAGCACTTCTTTCTCGTTAAAAGTTAAGTTTAAGCTAAATCTCATGTAATATATAACTCTCTCTATATTTAGCTCCCATAAGAACTATCGGTAGAAAATCAAAACTTTGTTGTTAAAGATATTTTAAGCAAGACCGATCTATAGTTTGCTCCGCTCTCAACATAAAATCATTATCTTATTAATTCTCTATTCATATTGTATATAGTACAAAGTGAAAAAGATAGAAAGGGTATTTCATATTCTGGTTCCTTTTTCAGATTTCTCCCCAGCGCCATTTGCTTTTCGTTTTGGCTTATGTTTCTGGCACTGAATCTGGCTTTTTGTCCTTGTGCTTCTTTTGTGCGCTTCATAACTAATTTGAACTTCATTTACTATCTGTGTTTCATCTATGGCTAAAAGCTATTCAGCAGTATATATCTATATATACTTTTCGTAACCCTTGATAAGCCGCAGCAGCAGCAGAGCGACCGAGCGAAAACCCTTGTCGATATGCCCTTTGAAGTTGCCCCCGAAAAACGTGTCAAAAATAATAAAATGTTAGGAAAAAATTTAATTTTGTAAAAATCACACGAAATCAAATCGACGCCAGAAACTTTTTAGCTTTGCGCCAAGAAAAAACCGCAACAAGTCGAATTTAATAAACACTCCCGCAAAAAAAAGAGAAAAATGAAAATGCGAAAAAGTGAAAAGCAAAATGCGTGAGGGAAAGTGCCAGCAGGCACCTTCAAATCAAACGCGTCGGTTCCCGACAAGCAACTCTGTGGTTTTTCTAGGCGTCATCCACATGCCCAGTGTCACAGTGGGTGCTAAAAAGTAGGCAACATAGCCGGCAACCACAAGAGCAACAAGAACAGGAATTTGCGGATACAATTTGTAGCATTTTGTGTTGAATGAATGTCTGAGCATGAAATGTTTTCAATTGCTAAATTGTTACTGAAAAGAAATGAATACACAATGAAAACGAAAAAATAATGGAAGAAAACATGAGGAAAATACAAAGAACCCACACACTTTGCCCAGCGGCTGAGTATTATGTCGAATAGGAATGATGAAAAAGAATGCGTTTCTGATTTGTGTAAGGGAAACGGAAATAAAAAATCATTTGACTTGCATGTTTAATGTGAACAAACAGAAAAAGTTTTCAGTTGCTTTCGATAGAACTTTTTAATTGACACTAGACTAAAAAAAACGAGAAAGAAGTGCTATCTTCGGCACGCCGAAGATTCAATACCCTTGCAGACCCAACCTTTTCAAAATGCTCATAGTGCCCGTACCTTAGAAGCACAGGGAAAATAGTTAATGCCGAGTATGGTTAAGATATCTTGAAAAACAATACAGGTTTCCATACAACAACTTAGTTTTCGACCGATCGTTCCTATGGCAGCTATATGATATAGTAGCCCGATGTGAATAAGATTTTGCATAAGTGGAGGGAGCATAGTAAAACTAATAAATGCCGAGTTTGGTCAAGATATCTTGAAAACCAAAAAAATTTCATACAACAGCATAATTTTCGACCGATCGTTCCTATGGCAGCTATATGATATAGTTGTCCGATCTTAATAGGATTTTGCATATATGTATATGGGGAGCGTAGTAAAACTAATAAATACCGAGTTTGGTCAAGATATCTTGAAACACATAAAAATTTTCCATACAAAAACTTAATTTTCGACCGATCGTTCCTATGGCAGCTATATGATATAGTTGTCCGATCTTAAAAGGATTTTGCATATATATGGGGAGCGTAGTAAAACTAATAAATACCGAGTTTAGTCAAGATAACTTTATAAACAAAAATGTTTTTCATACAAGAACCTACTTTTCGACCGATCGTTCCTATGGCAGCTATATGATATAGTGGTCCGATCCAGCTGGTTTTGACATATGAACTGCGTGCAACAGAAAGAGGGAATTCTGCAAAGTTTCATAAAGATAGCTTTAAAACTGAGAGACTAGTTCGCATAGAAACAGACAGACGGACAGACGGACATGGCTATATCAACTCGGCTGTTGATACTGATCAAGAATATATTTACTTTATGGGGTCGGAGATGTCTCCTTCTATGCGTTACACATTTCACGACAAAATTATAATACCCTCTGCAAGGGTATAAAAATTAATAGATTTTAACTTGGTATTCCTCCTTAATAGTTGAATTCTCAGATTCAATCTGCCTGTCAGAGCAGCCGAATGGGACCTTGGGTATGAGTCTTACTTATAGAAGTAGTATTTATAGAAGAATATCCTGGAAAACAGAATATTTTTTCATATATTAACTCAATTTTCGACTAATTATTCCTTTATAATATAGTAGTGCGAATTTGATAAGACATCATATACAAGCAGCACAGTTAAAATAGTTAAGGCTGGGGTTAGTCAATATATCTTGATAAAAAAAAGGTTTTACATACAAGAACTTAATTTTCGACCGATCGTTTCTCTGGCAGCTATATGATAAAGTGGTCCGATTCGGCAGGATTTAACAAATGTACTGCTTGCTACAAAAAGACAGACCTATGCAAAGTTTCAAGACGGTAGTTTTAAAACTGAGAGACTAGTTCGCATAGAAATAGACAGATGGATAGACGGACATGGCTGTTCATGCTGATCTAGAATATATATACTTTATGGGGTCGGAGATGTATCCTTCAATGTGCTACACATTTCATGACAAAATTATAATACCCTCTATAAGGTCGTAAAAAGCAACATTTTATAGCGAAGAATTCTGATTATTATTATATTTACAAATTTTACCACCATAAGAGATTTTATTCCCACCATTTTCTCGTTAACTCTAAAACTGGTTTCTATTAGCTGCGGTTCGGACTATATCCATACATAAGTTTGAGATTCGAACCATTGTTTATTTGCCTGAATGACTGGGTTAATTAAATCTTATTTTATTATTAATCAGGGTAGCATTGGTTTCCCAATTAGATGGTATTTAGCTGATCCCATTAAATATGGGAAATACTATCGTTTCTGAATAGATCTAGACATATGCTTCTGTCTGTACGTTTGCATGAACGCGTCGATTTTGGTCAAGTCTATAGGCCAAAAATTTAAATATATTTACTCGTTTACCATTCGCAGAGCGAGTTTTTTATTTTTTTTATATCCTTCCATTTTCTTAATATTCAAATATCGATTTTGAAACATGATTTTTTATGCACATCTGGAAGATTGTAAGAGTTACGTACACC